TATACTGTATCTATTAGATTGGATAAAAGAGGAAAGTAATCAATTTATGTTGTTGTTAACAAGCACAATTGCCGTGACACACACACTTTTTCTGGTGCTACCTGGTTTTCTTTCCAAGGTTGGTAACTTTGCATTTCAGCCTGAATGGGCTATTGGGATGAGACACATCAACCTTCTGTGTACAATTTTGTATTAAGCTTTAATAAATTGAATTTTAAGAGTGCATCACACACATATTTCACAACCTTTTTATTTGGATATTAATCTTCAGTTTGTATGGCTGTGGTCTGGGCACATGTGGAGCTCTGTTCAATGGCTATTTTTTGTCTCATTTAACCACATAAGCTCCACAAGGTTCTACTCCCTTCATGACCAGGCCATTTTTTTGCTATTCAACACTGCGCTACCTAAACTTGCAGGGTCATGCAATACTGTACTGAACTGAAATTTTTTATTATTTTTTTTCTCACGGAATGAGCTTTCTTTTGGTGGTATTTGACCACCATGGGGCTTTTAAGTTTTTTTTATAAAAGAAAAATTGCTTAAACTTTTCTGTTATTAACATATCCATATAATAAAAATCATAAAAATAAAAACAGGTAAAATCAAATTTCTTCATAAATGTACAAACCAAAATGTATTCTGCTGCATGCCTTTGGCAAAGAAAAATCCCAATAAGTGTATATTAATTGGTTTGTGTAAAACAGTTTATTACAAACTATGGTATATATATTTGAAAACTCAATTATTGATGCCCTAAAAAACACCAGGACAGTACAAATGCCCTCCTAAATGACCCATTTTTGGAAAGCAGACAGTCTGAGGTACAGTATTTAGTAAAAGGCATGGCAAGTTTTTCAAAGTTGTACTGTTTTTTGTCACAATTTTTTGGAAAGTGAAGACATTAAATTTTTTTTTCTCCACTTTTTTTTACAGTCAGCAGTGCAGTACAGTGTAATCATATAAACTGGTATGGTGGTGATCAGGTATACTGACTAATGACGGTATGTAAAAAAATATATATTTTTTAACGTTTTAAAAAAAGCAGTCACAGCAGAGGCACTCTGTGTGCTCCTAAACAGGAGCAGCTTTATCACTTTATATACACTATATTGCTAAAAGTATGGAACACCCCTCCAAATCATTGGATTCAGGTATTCCAATCACCTCCATGGCCACAGGTGTATAAAATCAAGCGTATGGGGTAAACAAACAATTTCCCAGCAACACTTACCAGCCAGCTTGCAAAAAAAAAACAATGTGGTCCTGTCTAACAGTTTGCGTTAAAAAACAGAGGGTTTTGTTTGCACATTTGAATATACATGCTCCTCCAGCACACTGCCCTTAACCTACCATTGATACATGTGCTGACCTACTATGGAGGCTTTGGAAATGGTATTTGTCCTGACTGCATTGTGCCAAGTGTAAAGTTTGGTGGATGTGGGGATTATGGTGTGGGTTTGATTTTCAGGGGTTGGTCTTGTGAAGAGAAATCTTAAGACGAAGCATACCAAGACATTTTGGATAGTTTCATGCTCCCAACTTTGTGGGAACTGTTTGGGAATGGCCCCTTCCTGAATCAACAGTGACTGTGCACCAGTGCACAAAGCTGGAAAGGTCCATACAAGGCATGGATGAGTGAGTTTGGGGTGGAGGAACTTGACTGGCCTGCACAAAGTCCTGACCTGACCTGATACAAACACTTTTGGGATGAATTAGAGCAGAGACTACGAGCCAAGCCTTCTCGTCCGACATCGGTGCTTGACCTCACAAATGCACTTCTGGAAGAATGGTCCATAAAGACATGGATGAGTGAGTTTGGGGTGGAGGAACTTGACTGGCCTGCACAGAATCCTGACCTCAACCTGATACAACACCTTTGGAATGAATTAAAGCAGAGACAGTGAGCCAGGCCTTCTCATCTGACATCAGTGCTTGACCTCACAAATGCGCTTCTGGAAGAATGGTTTCAAACATTCCCATAGAGACTCTCCTAAAACCTTGTGGATCAGCCTTATTTTTTTTTTTTATTTATTTCAGGGACTTATATAGCGCTGTCAATTTATGCAGCACTTTCCATATATATTGTACATTCACATCAATCCCTAACCCTCAAAGGAGATGTACTATCTAAGCTCCCTAACTTACATTCATACATACAAATATTAGGGCCAATTTAGACAGGATCCAATTAACCTACCAGCACGTCTTTGGAATGTGGGAGGAAACCGGAGGACCCGGAGGAAACACAGAGAGAACATGCAAACTTCAAGCAGGAGGTGCCATGGCTGGGATTCAAACCAACGACCCTTGTACTGCCAGGCAGAAATGCTAACCATTTAGCCTCAGTGCTGCCCTCCCAGAAGAGTTGAAGCTGTATAGCTGCAAAAGGTCGGCCAACTCAATATTGAACCCTAAGGACTAAGACTGGGATGGCATTACAGTTCATGTGTGTGTAAAGGCAGGAGTCCCAATACTTTTGGAAATATATATATTATTATTACAGTATTTATAAAGCGCCAATAGTTCACTTTTACATCAGAACATGTGACAGAACAATACCAATACAATGTGAGGGGATTTTTGTTATACAACTCTAGGAGATATACTTTTTCAGAAATATGTTTTTTGTATAAATACTGAAAATAATACTAAAAATAAAAATGATAATACCAACAACTGTAATATCACATCTGTACTATAATGATGTTAACATGTTTGAAAGTTAAACATTTTGCTTCAGGGTTAGTCAGTTTATTAAAAGACAATGAAGTGCCATCTGCTGGCACACCATAAAAGTGAACATGAACTGGAACATCTAATCTAATTCAGTTCAGCTGAGATGAGATTAGCAGGTACAATACTGACATCTCATGGTTTTTCCCTCAGTTCTTGAAAGAATATATAGGACTCTTTTGAATCCTATTTTTAGTGTATAAAATGCAATATACTAACAAATGGAAATAAAATTTGGAGCTGTATTCATAAAACTTAGTTGTATTCAGGCACATTATCTGGATTGACCATATATTGCATGCATTCTCCCTTGCTATTTGCAAACATTGATACATTCTGAAGTAAATGAGAAGCAGAGCTTATGGAGGCTCATGCAAATGAAGAGTCTGGAATAGATTGCAAAATTGCAAATTGCGAATTATGACATTTGACAGCAACCAACATCAAGAAGTGTAACATTGGGTGTGGATTATAAAAGCCTGTGAATATTACTAAGATCTAGATTATTGCCACCTATGAGCAAAGCAGATTTTTTGTGTGAATGTAAACGTTCAACGAGGCTGGCCATCATATAATAGATTGTCATATATAAACATGCATGTACCACCATGTTTTCCTGGGGGGAAAAGACAGAGATGCCAGGTACAATGTGCACCATTTGTTTAATTATGTGTTTTTTTTTTAAATATGGGCAGGCCTGGACATATACAGTATAAAGGACTCCCAGTTTAACCATAAATGCCATAGTAGATATCCGTTCTCTTACATCTGGTAGAAGCTACTTGATCTGCACTCCATGCATAGGTAATCTTTTATCAGCACAAAGACAATGAATAATTTAGCAATGCATTATTTCCTGTTTAAAACTATTCATGCATTTTATATATATCACGCTCAAGTCAAACCGGGACTTTTGAGTTTATATGATAAAAGAACAAACTTCAAGGAGTGGAAACTGCATTTATTTTTTGGCATACTGCCCTGCTTCATTTACACACTTATCCCAGCATTTCACTAATGCCTGTAAAGCTTCGGCATAAAAATATTTATCGGTATGTGTGAACCATCCTAGGACAACCTGCTTCAATTTGTCATCAGTGCTGAAATGCTGACCTCCAAGGAACTCTTTTAGGGGTCCAAACAGGTGGAAATTACTCAGAGCCAGGTCTGGGCTGTAAGGGGGATGTGGTAATACCTTCCAGCCCCGAGTTTCTGTAATGTGCACGTAGTGAAGTAAGCAGTATGAGCTTGTGCATTGTCCTGGAGAAACAGGATGCTCTTAGTGATCAAAACAGGCCAATTTTTCCAGACTCATATGCACATCATTCAGAACACAACAGTAATATTCACTGTTGATTGTGGCACCACGGGGTAGAAAATCCACATGAATAGCACTGTTTGTCACTGAAAACACTTGCTATCACTTTATCTGCACAGGCAATTGTTTAAATGTTTTTTTATGGTGATGAGTCTGCATGCTTCCACTGTTTTGATGCTTATTTTGATTCCGGAGTGAAATGATGTGCCCAGGTTTTGTCATATGTAATTATGCAATCCAGAAAACCCTGGCCTCCCTGATGTACAGCCATCTTTGAAGCATTTACACCATGCAAATGTCTTACTGTGTCTAAGCGTCTCATCACCATACTACGTTTGAAGTCTTCTGTATCCACGGGTTTTACGCCTTTGTTCACAAGAAACTTCATCACCACACACAGTTACATGCATGCACTACCACTGTTGTCTGCCATCTTGATTAACGGTCTCTGAACTGGCTCTGATATATGCACCATCTATCAGTAATAGGACATACTTGCCACTTACTACTGCGTGTAGTACCACCACACTAGCATCCCTTTTTATACCTGTAAATTAAAAGTCCCAGCATAACTTGAACACCCCTCGTGTGTATGTGTATATATATAGATATATTTATTTATTTTCCCTATATTTATATATTGCTAAACCCACTGGACCAGTACGACAACTAGGAAACTAGCATTTTGAAGGGAACGATCATTATAGAGGGAAAGATCAGCAATGGTAACCACCATACTTCTTCCCTCTAGGTTTAATTTAAAGGGACCTGTCAAGGTAGTTGTAACCTGGCACCAAACCTGAGTCTCTCATTCAGTGCTGTAGCCTGCCAATCCCTAACTTCTGGAAGAAGATCTGGGGCAGCTAAAACCTGTGCAGTATCAAGTGCCTGCCCTTGTGCTAGCAGAGCTTCCTGGAGTCATACAAAGAAACCCTTAGATGCAATAGCAACAGCCATCATAACAGGTTACCTCCAGTTGGCTTCTTGCAGAAATGGATTCTTGCTCACTCTTAGTCTGCTTAAACTTAAACAGCCATCCAACCAGAGGGATACTGCCTGTAGCTCTTAAAATATAAAGAAACGTGTAAATGCTTGAAAAAGTAAAAAAAAAAAAAAAATTCATGAAAATTATTGCCAAATTTACCTGATAAACAATTGTTACTGAGGTCCACTTGTTCCAAAGAGATAAAGGAATTAAATGGTGCAAGATGTGTCACGCTGTAAAATCATAAGAGGAATATGAATGCATTACCTATCCCCTCGTAAAAATGTAATATTTAGCTTGAAAACTCCAGTATGTGCTATCAAACTAGTAACATTAGTTCCGTGTTCAAAATAATCCAAACTGAACTGCAAGTGATTTCAAGCAGCTCTGCACAGTGCAGTTTCAACTTCAAGAACAAGTGGCTGTATAGTCAGCAGAAGGAAATGTGATTACAAACTTAGTAAACATAGATAGACAACATAGGAATTTTGGCATAGCTGTAATTTCTATATCTTAGAAAACAGTACAAGACACAGGAGTTGATTCTTAGACCATGGGTTATATGCCGCTACCTAACGGTCACAGGAAACTGGCAAGACCTTGCTGGAAACCTCACCCCAGTTTACCCATATACTGTACAGTGGGGGAAAAAAGTATTTAGTCAGCCACCAATTGTGCAAGTTCTCCCACTTAAAAAGATGAGAGAGAGGCCTGTAATTGCCATCATAGGTAGACCTCAACTATGAGAGACAAAATGAGAAAAAAAATCCAGACAATCACATTGGCTGATTTGGAAAGAATTTATTTGCAAATTATGGTGGAAAATAAGTATTTGGTCACATACAAACAAGCAAGATTTCTGGCTCTCACAGACCTGTACCTTCTTCTTTAAGAGGCTCCTATGTCCTGTACTCATTACCTGTATCAATGGCACCTGTTTGAACTTGTTATCAGTATAAAAGACACCTGTCCACAACCTCAAACAGTCACACTCCAAACTCCACTATGGTGAAGACCAAAGAGCTGTCGAAGGACACCTGAAACAAAATTGTAGACCTGCACCAGGCTGGGAAGACTGAGTCTGCAATAGGCAAGCAGCTTGGTGTGTGAACAAAATCAACTGTGGGAGCAATAATTAGAAAACGGAAGACATACAAGACCCCTGATAATCTCCCTCAATCTGGGGCTCCACGCAAGATCTCACCCCGTGGGGTCAAAATGATCACAAGAACGGTGACCAACGTAACCACCACCAGGACCACACGGGGGGACCTAGTGAATCACCTGCAGAGAGCTGGGACCAACGTAACAAAGGCTACCATCAGTAACACATTACGCCGGCAGGGACTCAGATCCTGCAGTGCCAGACGTGTCCCCCTGCTTAAGCCAGTCCATGTCCGGGCCGGTCTGAAGTTTGCTAGAGAGCATTTGGATGATTTAGAAAGAGGATTGAGAGAATGTCATATGGTCAGATGAAACCAAAATAGAACTGTTTGGTAGAAACACAACTCGTCATGTTTGGAGGAGAGAGAATGCTGAGTTGCATCCAAAGAACACCATACCTACTGTGAAGCATGGGGGTGGCAACATCATGCTTTGGGGCTGTTTCTCTGCAAAGGGACCAGGATGACTGATCCATGTACAGGACAGAATGAATGGGGCCATGTATCGTGAGATTTTGAGTGCAAACCTCCTTCCATCAGCAAGGGCATTGAAGATGAAATGTGGCTGGGTCTTCCAACATGACAATGATCCCAAACATACCACCCGGGCAACGAAGGAGTGGCTTCGTAAGAAGCATTTCAAGGTCCTGGAGTGGCCTAGCCAGTCTCCAGATCTCAACCCCATAGAAAACCTTTGGAGGGAGTTGAAAGTCCGTGTTGCCCAGCGACAGCCCCAAAACATCACTGCTCTAGAGGAGATCTGCATGGAGGAATGGGCCAACATACCAGCAATAGCGTGTGCCAACCTTGTGAAGACTTACAGGAAACGTTTGACCTCTGTCATTGCCAACAAAGGATATATAACAAAGTTATAGTGGTGGCTGACTAAATACTTTTTTGTCCCACTGTAACTACAGCCCACTCTATGTGGCTCCAATCTTTTGTAGCAAGAGGTAAGCAAAGCACAGAAAAGAGGGGAGGGACCTATGTCCTGTACTGTACTCAAAGATATGAAATTTACAGGCATGCCAAAAATTCTAGTATCTTAACTAGTGTAAAATAAATGTTGCTCTGACCTTTTAAATATAAAATACAGTTGGTATAAATGAAACAATGTGCTAAATAAACACCAATGAAAACGTTTTTTCAACATTAATGTAGAACCAGTGTCCAATACGTGTTCATTTAAGGAGTAATACACATGTGCTGAATTTCAGTGCTCCACCATCAATACCTTGGCTCTTACCAGAAGCACATGACCCCTAAAACTGAGGTCATAAACACCTATGAATCACTCCAGAATAGTCAGAAAGGTGACCTCAGCAGTTAACACTTGAGTACATCAGACATGAACCATTGGAAAGGAAAAGAAGGCGCATAGCATAATCCCATAAATACACTGTTTATTAATTTAGAACAGTGATCTACTCACAAACATAAAGATGTATTAAGTATAGGGATTCAGTACTGCCAATCCAGCAGGCATGAGGACGTAAACCTGCTAAGCTTCAGCCAATGCATTTCATCACACGAGGACATCTCCAGGGACTGGTGCATTGCATATGTTTTTGAGTATCTCACGGTTTTAAAGTAGGAGTTTGGGCTAGAACTAACGATGCTTAGCACGAATCCCACCACCCTTTTAACTCCTATACTAACTACCCTGTAAAAGGAAGATGCATATACTTACTTATTCTCAGAGCTCTCCAGTTACATGATCTCCCCAGTGCATGGAGAAAACGCAGACAAAAGATGTTGACAGCACCTATGGGCTTACTATGGGGCATCCTTTGTTGGCTGTCCCTCCTCTCACCTGAAGCCGGCCACTGGGAGCCAATCATGTGTTCGGACTGGAACAATCTGAGAATAGGCAAGTATAAGCATCTGCCTTTTACAGGGTAGTTAGCATAGGTGTTAGAAGGTGGCAGCAAGTAGGAGTCAACAAGTAGTAATGTGTGACAGAAAAAAACAGGCAACAAAAGGACAGCAACAGAGATTCCTTGTGTACCTTTCTGAAGAACAGAGTGAATTAAAAGGTTGGGAAATCTTTGCCTAATGTGGATCAACTTTTAATAGACATCCCTCTCCTCCCCTCTTTTCGTCAAGGAGTTTGTGGAATTTTTAATGCAAAGAGGGGTTTAGAGGCAAGGGGTCTGCCATGAGGTGAAGGAACTGCACTAGATGGTAACTCCCTGAGGAAACAAACAGATCACATCCACACGATAGTAGGGCCCAAATATAGGAGAGACAAGTTTGAGAATAGTGAAGCAGGAACCCCCTCCCCTCAGTAGCCACTTCAAAGTGTTCCTCATTGGAACGTCCGATGAGAAGCATAGTTTCGAATGACCTCCTCAGAAGTCCTGTTCATAAGGATGTTATGCCAACCAGGTCTTAAAGTGATTGTAAAGGCATAACATGTTATACTTACCTGCTCGGTGTGGTGGTTTTGCAAAGAGCAACCCTGATCCTTCTCTTCTCAGGTCCCCAGCTGGCACTCCTGGCCCCTCCCTCCAGGACCAGGAACAATGCTGGAGGCAATTTACAGCGCACATTTATGTGGAATGTATGTTGCTTGCTAAGGAACATTATTTTTTTTTGTTTAGTTTTTATGGGTAAAGTTCCATTTTAACCACTTGCCACCTGCCCATAATACATCTACTACAAGGGGGCAGCACAGCCAGGTCGGGAGACACAATGGATCATGGTGCTCGGTGTGCCTGGTCGCTCTGAGTGGCCAGGGTATCATGTGATTGCTTCAACCAATCATACCGATCACGTGATATTTATGTAAGAAAACTGTCATGAATGGGTTTCCATTTATAAACGGCTTGATTACTGTTGTGATGCGGTGATTGGCCCACAGCTATCACATTGTACCTGGCTACCTGTACCATGTGATTAGGTGTAGCCATGAAACCCATTCATGACAATTAACTATATCCTATAACACTAATCTTCACTGGTATAAGCAATAACAGGTTAAAAAAAAAAAAAAAAAAAAAAAATCCCTGATCATCCTCCCCTCTCAACCACTCAACCAGAGTAGTACAGTATCACTATGGTGACACTGAATTACTCCGATAAAAGTATGCAAAAATAAAAAGTAAAAAAGGGGAGGGGGGAAATGTTTAAAATTTGAATTTAAAAATATTTATTTTTAATTTTATTTTTATTTATTAATGTGCATTAAAGGAACTTATGCTAGTGAGATCTAAAAGAAAGGACTGCTGATTTGCAAATCAGAACACTGTTATAATAACATTACTTACAGTGGGGAAAATAATTATTTGATCCCCTGGAGATTTTGTTAGTTTGCCCATTGACAAAGAAATGAAGGGCCTATAATTTTAATCATAAGTGTATTTTAAATGATATAGACAGACTATCAACCCCAAAAATCCAGAAAAAAACACAATACAAATGGTATAAATTGAGTTGCAGTTCAGTAAGTATAATAAGTATTTGATGCCCTACCAACCAACAATAATTCTGGCTCACACAGACTGGGTATGTGCTCCTGTGGTACACAGATTAGTCCTGTCAATCTAAGAAGGTGCTCCTGTCCACAAAATCTATTTCTTCCTTTCAAACCTCACCATCATTATGGGCAAGACCAAAGAGCTGTTATAGGACATCAGGGACAAGATTGCAGACCTGCACAAGGCTGGAATAGGCTACAAGACCATCAGCAAGAAGCTTGGTGAGAAGGAGACTACCTCTTTGAGCGATTATTTGCAAATGGAAGAAATACAAAATAACCATCAATCACCCTTGGTCTGGAGCTCCATGCAATATTTCACCTCATGGGGTAAGGATGATCATGAGAAAAATGAGGGATCATCCCAGAACCACATGGGAAGAGCTTGTGAATGATCTCAAGCAGTTGGGACCAAAAAAAACATTGGTAACATATAACGCTGCCATGGATTGAAATCCTGCAGCACCCACAAGGTCTCTCTCCTCAAGAAGGCACATTTACAGACCTGTCTAAAGTTTGCCAAAGAACATCTAAATGATTCAGAGAAGGATTGGGAGAAAGTGCTGTGGTCAGATGAGACCAAAATTTAGCTCTTTGGCATTAACTCGACTCACCGTGTTTGGAGGAAGAAAAATGCTGACTATGACCATAACAACACCATCCCTACAATCAATCAAAGAGTTGGAAACATGTTTTGGGGCTGTTTCTTTGCTGCATTGAGGGGCCAATGGACAAGGCCATGTATTGTAAAATCCTGGATGAGAACACTGAAGATGGGCCTTCCAGCATGAAAATGACTCAAAACATACCACCTAGGCAATAAAGGAGTGGCTCAAGAAGCAGCACATTAAGGTCATGGAGTGGCCTAGCCAGTCTACAGACCTTAATCCTATAAAAAATAAATGGAGGGAGCTGAAACTTGAGTTGCCAAGTGACAGCCAAGCAACGTTAAGGATTTAGAGAAGATCTGTAAAGAAGTGTGGACCAAAATCACTCCTGAGATGTGTGCAAACTTGGTAACCAACTATAAGACATGTCTTAAATCTCTGATTGCCAACAAGGGTTTCTCCACTAAGCACTAAGTCATAATGTGAGAAAGGACACCGCTCTAACCACTCGTGGAGTCCTATGTAAGGATAGCCTTAGCTGTCACTCTGGCCACGCCCTCTGATGTGTTTCACCACGCCCACCACGGCTTGGTCATAGAGGAGTGAAAGACAATGGGTGTCAGGCATTATATGTGCATCATTGACTGTGACATCTTTACTTAGGACTCCACGAGTGGTTAGAGCGGCGTCCTTTCCCACATTGCGCCCACATGACTGGAGACATTTGAGGAAAACGTTCTGCCTTTCATACCGGTGAGGTGATTATTGAGCTCCAGCTTGGAGTGGCACCATCACGTTATACATACCAGCCCAAGTACTAAGTCGTGTTTTGCTTTGGGAACAAATAATTATTTTACTCACTGAACTGCAACTCAATTTATAACATTTGTATCGTGTTTTTTCTGGATTTTTGGCTGATATTCTGTCTCTATCATTTAAAATACACCTATGATAAAAATTATAGACTCTTCATTTCTTTGTAAGTGGGCAAACTTACAAAATCTGCAGAGGAGCAAATTATTATTTTCCCCACTGTATACTATAGGGCTGAGAAAACAAGACAATAATATTCAGAGTAAAAACACTTAAATGTAGATTGCCCCATAAACTGTGCCCTCCCAACCGCTTATGTTCAGGGCCCAATCTTCGTCCATCACTGATATGCATAACCCTAAAGGGGTCTTCAAGGTCTGGGTGCCATAGGAATGAAGCATGGCTCTGAACCTGTAAAGCACCCTGCTTTTAACTCACTCTTTTTACCAAGTACCAAGGTGAACCCTGAATGCAGGATCCACTGCCTAAAACAAACATTATGAGAAAGCCTCACTGTTATGGGGTCTGGGAACAGTTCCCAAGATTTACATTGAGATAAACAATACATAAATGGATGGCAAGTCATAAGACGCTAAGCAATCAGATCTTGACAGAAGTGTCAGCCAAAGAAAGAAGGAAAACATGTAAAAAGTGGAAAAAGTATATTCTCAAAAAGGAGAAGGGGTCCATTACCCAAGGGCATTAGCGAAAAACTGGGGCCCCACAGAGTGGGCCAGGTTATATGTGTACAATGGGAGGAGGTTTCCAGTAAAGCTGTTGCCAGTGACCAATCACTTGAAGGTAGCGGCATATAAATCGATAAGATTAAGATATATGTATTTTAATAAATAATATTAAATTGTGAAGACGTGTATTGTAGGTGGTTCCTCCAAGTACAAAATATTCAATGAGGTCAGGATTTCCCTTTAGGTCTAATGTCATGTTATGACCTGATCAGGGGCAGACTGACAACTCGTGGGGCCCCCAGGCAATAGGGGATCATGGGGCCCCTGTGTCCTTGCCCAGACTCAAAAAAGCCTATGAAAAAGGTACCAGGGGCATCTCATGGGGCCCCCTACTGACCCCAGGCCCTCGGGCAGTGCCCGAGTTTCCAAATGGTCAGTCCGCCCCTGGACCTGATGTAATACAGCAGGTTTTACACTTTTTTATTCCTTATTGCTATTGGTAAATACAATTAAATAACTACCTGTTTTTTGAGACTGAGAACATTTGCAACAAAGGTAGCCAATATGATGACATCTCTCTCAGTGTTGTGATGTTGTTATCATCCAAATACACTTCTCTGAGGAGCACATGATTATCCAACTTAGGAATCTGCAAAAATAAAATTAGCTCAGTAAATAAATCTTTTTACACATAAGGGTGTAAGAGCTCTTCTATAATTGTCAAGATACATTCACATGGGCGTTAGCCATTGAAAATCAGTAGATTCTTGCTAGCAGAGCTAAATGTTGCATGCACATAGTGTATGCAAACAGCAGATTTGTACTTCGCACAAGTTAATGGCCAATACCACTGCTATTCACATACTGTATAACTGCTCATTCAAGCAATTACATGTGACAACAGCCTCTTACCAACTGTGGAAGCAGGCAGTGTGAAATCATGGAGGGAGTTTCTGGTGAGTTTCTGACTGCACACAAACTGACCACAGCTGATCGGCCAGGTTGTCTGTGGCCATAGCACAGAGTGCAGCTGCATCCAGAGGCAATTTTTCAGCCACCTCTGAATGCAGCAAACAATCTGTGCCTGGCCACCTGAGCAAACGGAGCCTTAAACTTACTAACAAACTGTATTTTCCTCCAGAAATCCAATCAGCTTATCCCTTTTTTTGTTTCTAGGGAAGACAATTATGAAATAGAGAAGTTGCAGAAAACCACTGACAGTTTTTCAGCCAAACATTTCATATATAAAGTCTTCTCTAACAGTGATCACAAGTAGTGGCTCCTAAGCAATCTTCTCCCTTAGAAACTGCATGTCAACAAATGCACAACACAGTAATCTGTCTTCACTGAATGCCTTTTAGATATCTCCTGACTCTAATTAACACCTCATTTATACATTTGTAATTAGTCTGCTACTCTCTACCATGCAGACCATAGCTAATTAGATGTTAAAAATATTCACAGCAGCAAGTTATATTTTTAGAATCTGCTGTTCTTCAAGAAGCAGTTTGTGGGTTACATTAAGAAATTATGTAGAAATAAATATATTGTTTATGTAGGTGCACACTGGACTTAAAGTGTTACTAAACCCAGGACCCTGCATACACTATATCTGGTCTCCCACAGTTCACAGAACATGAGCAGTCAGAGCAGTCTTGTGACTTCTCTCAGTGTCCGGCTGAGCACTGGTTAAAGCTTGTAGGAGGAGTTTTCACTCTCACTGCCTTATGAGACTAGGGTTTGACTCAAATCATGGACACCGTCTGCATTGCATTACATGTTCTCTTAATAGTTTGCTTGTCTAAGTGCTCCCATGTCATAACCCCTGACCCTCTGTCTGGATAGTGGTGATCGGCCCTGTGAAATAAATAACAGAAAAGTGACTTGTAGAAAATTTGCATAAGTTAAATTACCCAAAACTATAATTTATGAAATTAGCCATTTGCCAAACCCCAAAAACCTCAAGAAGAGAATGTCAGCTTAATATTCTCACAGTGATCAATCAGATTGCAGCTGTCAATTATTCTGTGGGCTACTGAACAAAGGCTACTGTTGTTATTGTGCCCAGGCAAGGTCAGATTTGCATGACTGGAGTCTGTAGGGGCAGTCATAAATGCATAGAAATTCTTCTAGTTCAGCAGGGATGGGCCAGATTTTGATCCATTTAAGGGGAGTTTGGTTGTACAAAAGTCAAGCTATCAATCAACTTCTGTACAACCAGCCTGTCGGCTATAACCAGCAACATTGATTGGTATGTTCTGATGGCTCTCCAGAGCAAGAACACAATAACACAGCGGGAGTGATTCCTCCATCAACCCACTGGTTTAAAGAGAAAAAAAATCTGAATGTATGGCCAGAGTAAGCATGAACCATTTAGCGCCCAAAATACAACCCTCCAACAAAATCTCTTCTTATAGATTATTTTCATTATTTACTGGTCCTAACTTGGTTTAGAATGTTGTGGTAATGTTTAGGTAAGCTTGAGTCAACTGTATTTCTACCAATGATGGGTGAGAATACATGGCTGACAAATATGTAGTATATGGAAATTGCCTTTTTGCCTGTGCCACCTAGAACTACATGTCTACTGTTCCTAATGGTAAATCAGAAATTACAATTTAGTACCATAACTAACCAGTGGCATTATGGGAAATGCTGATTCGATCTAAAACCATCTGTGTAAATGTAAAAGATTCAATATGCTGACAGAGAGAGAGAGAATGAAAATCACAGCATGTTGGCATATGAAGCCAGTAAGAGCAAAAAGAGTAGGTACAACTGTTGTACAGGTATGAAAAACTTGCATACAGTAATCCTGTTAGTGTAGCCAAGCAACCATAATTTGTCATTTTAAACATGACAGATGCATGAAAGCCGCATAATGTATTATTTTACCTCAGTCAAGTTGTTTCCTTGTAACTTTAGAATCTGCAGCAAGCCACAATTCTGAATTCCTTCAAGTTCAGTAAGATAGTTGTAGGAGCAGTCCAAGTATGTGAGCAGAGGTGTGGTCTCAAGACCTCGAGTGGAGATTAGCTGATTGTGATCCAAGGCTAACCTCTGAAGATTTCTAAGCGAATTAAGCCCACCTAAGCCAAACCAAATGTATATCATTATCATTCTACTTGTAAATAGTGCTTATTTAACAGATCATTTTGACATTTAAAAAAAGTTAACAGAAATGAATCAAAAATGCTAACATTAACACAATTATAGCAAGTAGGGAATGGTGGCAAAGAAAAAAATATTGTCTGCTATAGGCTGTGAAAATAAATGATCAAAATACATTTCTATAAACAAATTTATGTCATATTACATTTCAGCTTTATAAAGAAAAATGCCGCTTTCTATAAACAGTCTGACTTGAAAACTTTATCTGAACACAGGATCATTGTTCAAATTTGAAAATCAAGAATCCTTGTAATTTTGGATGAAAAATTTGCTACATCTGCTCAACTACTGCAAAATGCATCTCACAGGGAAGCTACCAAATGTTTGCATTATTTATTTGTTATAGTGCTGGGAAAAAAAATATTTTTTTACTGTTTGTAATAAGACATATTATATATATATATCATCAGAGTACAGTGAAAGACCGTACAAAGTACCCAGTTTCTGCTTTGCAAATGTTAAGTGCCAGCTTCCAATTGTTCATTTTGTAAGGGGGATGGGCTCAACTGGTATTGGCAGCGGTAAACCATGCATGGGGCAGGCAGACCCAGGGACAGTCCACACAGGTTTGTCCTGCACTTTCATTTAACAAGGCAGAAATCAAATACATTTTCAGTGGAGAAGGACTTTGTACAGCAAGTCCATTGCATAAAACAAAACATAGGCTTGTCCAAACCACTAACTAAACTCTGTTCTTGGCTAATAAGGTGTACCCTAATGGGTTCTTCAACACAAACAGGCAGCACTTGTACCTTTCTTTTAGAGTTCTGTCAGCAGTCAGCCTTTCACCCTGCAGCAGACTCCCAAAACCAAGAGATCGAAAGAAAAGGCATTGAGTATCAATCAGCTCACATATACAAAGACCTGTGGACAACTGAGACCAATAATCACATCTGGCAGAAGACATGGACATACAGTAGGATAAAGCCTCCATTTCATATCTTAGCTACCAGCTAAGATGTGGAATGGAGACTTTATTCTATGGAAAGTTCTACAAAGTCTTTGGGCTTCAGGATCAAAAATACAACTTTTTAAGATTGTGAGAAAACAAACGTTTTCTGAACATCAGCCATAAATTCTGAATCCCCTTACTGTGTGTATTTAAGATATTAACATATCTAAGTGAGACATATACACAGGGCCTGTGCTTCCATTAGGTACACTAGGCAGCTGCCTAGGATGCACTGCCACCTAGGGGCGCCTAGGTGCAGCACAGGCCGGCACACTCTCTGTGTTTGGAATGCCACCATGGCTCCTTGGAAAAAAGTATTGCTCATCCCTGCAGTATACTGTCTAAAATCCTGCCAGCCCATGTCTAACAATCTGTACAGTAGTATTTTGTATATTAGAGACTGTATACACAAACAACTCTCACAATATCAACAAAAAGTGTTAAAACCCCAAACTCCCTCTGCCTTAGACTGATACTGTGTAGTACTGTCAATTTAAAGGATACATTTGCCTTAAAAAAAATGAAAAATGCAAACCTTTTTGCAGGTAAAAAAAATGTGCATTTATTATTTTTTTACATTGCAGCCTGTAAAGCATTGCATCCGCAATCAGAAGATCACAGGTACAATGCCAGGCTCCTACAGACTCTCAGTAAGCTTTCTGCCTGTACCTCCCATACGGCCAGATATTTACTATTGCAGGAAGAATCAATGCATTACAAGAGTGCTCACCAGCACACAGACAGTGCTTTGAGAACTACAAGCCACCAGTTGCAGTAGATGACGATACTTTTTTATTCCATTTATTATTTTACTTAATTATTCAATAATAATAATAATAATATTCAACACATTTCTGCATTACAGTGAACCTTCTGGCTAACAATCATAATTAAGATTTAAAGGTGAATTATAGGCAAACCATTGTATACACTGATGAAATACTTACACTCACTGACCACTTTATTAGGTACACCTGTTCAATTGCTTGATAACACAAATTGCTAATCAGTAAATCACATGGCAGCAACTCAATGCATTTAGGGAACTAGACATGATGAAGATGACTTGCTGAAGTTCGAACCGAGCCTCACAATGGGGAAGAAAGGGGAATTAAGTGACTTTAAACATGGCATGGTTGTTGGTGCCAGAAGTGCTGGTCTGAGTATTTCAAAAACTGCTCACGCACAACCACCTCTAGGGTTTAAAGAGAATGGTCTGAAAAAGAGAAAATATCCAGTGAGTGGCAGTTGTGTGGATGAAAATGCCTTGTTGATGTCAGAGGAGAATCCGCAGACTGGTTCGAGATGATAGAAAGGCAATGGTAACTTATGTCAATATGGAACAAAATCTCTGAGGAATGTTTCTAACCTTGTCAAATCTTTGCCACAAAGAATTAAGGCAGTACTGAAGACAAAACGTGGTCCAACCCAGTACTAGCAAGATGTACCTAATAAAGTGGCCAGTGAGTGTATATAAGAGCTTTTTTTTTGTTCCAAATGATTTGTATTTCACTGTATCCATTTCTGAGATGTACGCAGCCTTGCGTAAGGGACCTAACCTTTAGAGCAGATTCACTTGTAATTACAGGTCTCCTCCCTATCACCGACCCTGTGATTGTAGAGTGTAAGAGGAAGCAGAATACTGATGAGCTATCAGTCACTGTTACTTTTTGTCACTTTGCTCTCTCCTCCTAACAACACTTCTTTGAACTGCAGGAAAGCTGTCAGAGATCTGCTGTATAGCAATACCAAATCAAATTCAGATGCTTATGTTATGTATAAATAATTACAGCACTTCATTAATTTGTTCCTTAAATATCTGCATGGAGTTCATGTATGAGCCTATCATCACTAAAAGACAAAAATTACACTAGCACTTTCCAGGCATCTGGCATCTCCCATTTGCAACGTTCAGTCACTGGAGCCACACTTTTGTCAAATCCGGAGATATAATCTGGACCAGGTTGCGGCAGGTCCATCAGGACTTTGGATCGGCTCGGTCCTTCCCTGTACCCCACCACTGGAAGCAATATCTGCTCAGCAAGAGTGATGAAAAAGGTTGCTGTGAATTGCAGTTTGTAGCCACTACTACATCATATGGCAGTAATGTACACTGGTTGCTATATAAAAGCATCAATTCAAAATAGTGTTGTGCTGTCAACCAAAACCAATAAGTGAAGTGAATAATGTCAAAGTGTGATAAATTAATCAATGACAAAGTCCAGTGTTAAATCAATTTATAAAGTCCACTTTGAGTGAAAAAGTAATCTTCATATATCCAGTGTGCACCAGCCACCATGTGATTAAAGATCCGCTTACCAGATTTTTTGACCTCACATGATAAGAAGTCTAAATCAACATTTAAATGCCCCAGAATGGTCACTGGATCGCTTCTCGTATACCGATCTCTCCACCGCAAAACACACACAAAGGAGATATATGAAATAAGATAATGAGCGCTAAATAATCACAAGTAGCCAATGCACTGAAAAGGCAAACCAAAAAAACCTCCAAAATAATCAAAGACAAAAAGGTGTGGCGCTAGAACCACAAGTATATACAGTCTTATATATACACATATATAACCATATTAAATGCACAAATCACATATACGTGATAAATAAAGTGACAAAAGTGCAAATACACAATAATATGCATCAAAAGTGTAATGGGTGATATTAGTGAGCACTCAATAGTGCCATATATCTATTCACATTCATAGTCTTAAAAAAGTTTAAAAAGGTGCTTAAATATGAAGATCCATCTGAAAAGATCTCAGGTAGGTGCTCTATATATCATCCAGGTGATATGCCGTGAATATGTTAAGATTACACACTCACCAGATGTGCAACCGTAATGCGTATATATATATATATATATATATATATATATATATATATATATACACAGTTCAAAATAATAGCAATCAGACATCACTAACCTGATCAATCACTGTTTTTGGTAGAAATTATATTTCTACATGGCAAATAATTTACTAGCAGGTGTAGTAGAGTAATAGAAATCCAACAGACCCAACAGTCATGACATGCATGCTTGCTGATTCTGTGTATTTGAATCACTAATTGAAAGGGGCATGTTCAAAATAATGGCAGTGTGGAGTTCGATATAGTGAGGTCATTCATTCTTTGAAAAACAGCTGGCAATTATTGCCCTTATTTAAGGAAGGAAGGCAGCAAACGTTGTACATGCTGGTTACAGTGCATTTCTCTCTGAAATTCTGAGGAAAATGGGTCGTTCCAGACATTGTTCAGAAGAACAGCGTACCTTGATTAAAAAGTTGATTGGAGAGGGGAAAACATATAAAGAAGTGCAGAAAATGATAGGCTGCTCAGCTAAAATGATCGCAAATGCTTTAACATGACAACCAAAACCTGAAAGACGTAGAAGAAAGCGAAAAACTACCATTCGAATGGATAGAAGAATAGCCAAAATGGCAAGGACTCAGCCAACAATCAGCTCCAGGAAGATGAAAGAAGGTCTAAAGTTACCTGTGAGTACTGTTACAATTAGAAGATGCCTATGTGAAGCCAAGCTATCTGCAAGAAGCCTCCGCAAAGTCCCACTGTTGAAAAAAAGACATGTGCTGAAGAGGTTACAATTTGCCAAAGAGCACATTGACTGGCCTAAAGAGAAATGGCGCAACATTTTGTGGACTGATGAAAGTAAAATTGTTCTTTTTGGGTCTAGTGGCCGGAGACAGTTTGTCAGACGACCCCCAAACACTGAATTCAAGCCACAGTACACTGTGAAGACAGTGAAGCATGGTTGTGCAAGCATCATGATATGGGGATGTTTCTCATACTACGGTGTTGGGTCTATTTATCACATAGCAGGGATCATGGATCAGTTTGAATACATCAGAATACTTGAAGAGGTCATGCTGCCTTATGCTGAAGAGGAAATGCCCTTGAAATGGGTGTTCCAACAAAACAACGACCCCAAACACACCAGTAAACGTGCAACACCTTGGTTCCAGACCAACAAGATTGATGTTATGGAGTGGCCAGCCCAATCCCCGGATCTTAATCCAATAGAAAACTTGTGGGGTGACATCAAAAATGCAGTTTCTGAGGCAAAACCAAGAAATAGAGAAGAACTGTGGAATGTAGTCCAATCATCCTGGGCTGGAATACCTGTTCACAGGTGCCAGAAGTTGGTTGACTCCATGCAACACAGATGTACAGCAGTTCTCAGAAACAGTGGTTATACAACTAAATATTAATTAAGTGATTCAAAGGAAAGCAAAATCTTCAAACATTTTTCAGTTTATATAGTGAATGTTTGAGTTTGTAAAGAAGAATACAAACACTGCTATTTTTTTGAACAGTCTAATATTCACTTTTCTTCAATTGTTTTAGAGGAACAACACAAGTTTGATATATTTTTCTTCATGTTTTGATTTGGAATAGAATGTGTAGTGTTCCCAATGCATTTGTGTGTATGGAAATAAAAGCTATTAGAAGGTTTTTGAGCTTTATTCACTTTTTTCAACACACTGCTATTATTTTGAACACAACTATATATATATATATATATATATATATATATATATATATATATATATATATATATATATATATATATATATTGTGACAGTGTGACGATCTGTCACCCAGGATTCTCAACAAGGCAGGTTGAGGGGCTCCAGGGTAAGTGTTTGATACGGAGGAAAGTGGCTTTTCACTTTCCTCCTTTGTTTGTAAAGTCTGTTTTGGGATCTGGAGCCTGGAGATTTCAAAGAGATCTGGGAGGGATGAAATCTCCAATCCTGGGACCAGGTTTTGGGAATGGCCAGGAGACTGATTGCACAGGTGTGTGCAGGCCTTTTCATAGAGTCAGGATCTGGGGTCTGGGCTCCACCCCAGCAGATAGGAGTCAGGAGGGCTCCACCAAGGAGAGGTGGAAGACAAAAGCAGCAAGGAGCTGCTAGAGATTAGCTATGTGCTAGTGGCCAGCTGTGTGCGAGAGCCATGTTTTGAAAGAGTCTGCAGGAGACAGACGTAAGCCTTAAGAGGACGGCCAGTGGAAGAGTGTTTATATCTGAGAGAGCCAGGAGGCTGAATTTTGTGTATGTGGATGATCAATACCCCTGTGTGGGAAACTTCTGATGTTTTGAACTTTCATTTGAATAAAAATGGGCTAAAAAGGCCTTAAAAAGCAAGTGAGTTGCTGTGTGCGTTACAAAAGCTCTACTACTTTGAAGCGAGTTCCCACAATATATATATAAAGTTGTCTGCCGGAGGTCCCCTTAAGGATAAGATCAGCCTGGTCTGGTCAGAGAGAGATGTATATCCCCTTCCCCTGGGTAGTCTGCAGCACCTCAAGCCGTCCTCCAGAGTGGGCTCTGTATTGGTATCCTTTTATAGATGAGAGCCCAGCATCAGCCGCTCCTTCCCCTCCTCCAGTCTACAGAACAGCCACATGACGTCACCATTACGGTTGCGCATCTGGTGAGTGCGTAATCTTAACATATTCATGGCACATCACCTGGATGATATATAGAGCACCTACCTGAGATCTTTTCAGATGGTTCTTCACATTTAAAGACCTTTTTAAACTTTTTTAAGACTATGAATGTGAATAGATAACTGGCACTACTGAGTGCTCACTAATATCACCCATTACACTTACATAAGACTGTATCTACTTGTGGTTCTAGCGCCACACCTTTTTGTCTTTGACACACAAAGGAGAGAACAAGGATATCCCATAGTGAAGTGCTGTACAAAATGTATTAGTAAAACCATATAAAATACCCACAAACAGAGAAGTAATAGAAGTATAACACAGCACCGCCGAGATTCCAGGCAGGTGAGATGACTGGTGCCCAACACTTCATCTGATGGTGTACATTGGATATATCAGGATTACGTTTTCACTCCTGGTGGACTTCATACATTGATTTAATACTGGACTTTATTATTGATTGATTTGTTGCACTTTGAGATTAGTCACTTCACTTATTGATTTTGGTTGACAGTGCAACACTATTTTGAATTGATGCTTTTAGTATAGAGAAGAGTCTAGATGTTCTCTAGAACATAAACAAAGAACTGGGAAAAAAGCACACTTACTAATTCTAGTTATTACATTGAACGATAACTCCAAACTCCTAAGGTTTGCACAGTTGTCTAGCCCATGTATTGATGTAAGTTGGTTCTTGTTTAACAAGAGTACAGTTAGATTTTCCAGATCTTCACAGTTAATTACGTTTATACAGTTTTCCTGTGTGAAGCAACAAATGCAAGCATTACTAATACAGTCGTTATTAAAAGCTTTTATTTCATGATTCATTTTAAGCATTTATCAATACGGTCTAAACAATTATCACTCATTACATTGTAAACCTGAGATTATCTGAATAAGTCATATGTTTAACAGGAAACTTGTTTATCTGATGATAATTAGTGACTTATTAACTTTTTTCCCTGATTACTCTATATTTTGTAATAGTACTCCATACACCAATTTGTAGATTATTCCTCCACTGGCCATCTATATTTCTAAAAGAGCCCATAAAAGCTAAAGAATAGCTGGCAGTACAAGTACAATATGACTACTGTTAGTCACCAGAGTAAGCATGCATTGCTGCCACATACAGTAAACATGCAATCTCAGCATGGATAATCATTCTTGTTTGTGCTACAGCGATATAAGGCAATAGCAATATTATTGCAATTGTGTCACAGGAGTGGTCACACAATTAAAATGTTTACTGTATGAGCACTTTCAGAGGCACACATAGCACCTTTTGATGCTAAAGGTTTATTTTTTGCAATATTTAACACTTTAGCACTAGCATTTTTTCCACATAAATGCACATTAGTATTAGGCAAGCATGGTAATATTAATCCAGTAAGAGTGACTATATATATAATATTTAGGAAGATTGCTATTATAGCACTACACTCATTTTTATAATACCTTGTGATTGTGTGTAATACATTGTTGGCAAGCTTAGCTAGGGGTAAACACTAGAAGCAAAGAAGCTACAGTGATCCAATATCTCCCTGTGAATATATGCGGTCATTGTAAGGAGCCTGGATGAGAAATGCATATGCGTAGACACTAACGTAAATGGCCAAAGCTTAATATATCAGCAGGATGCAAAAAAAGGCTCTCGCCAAGGTACAGGCTATAGAAGTACCCAGTCATCATCAGAGCCCCAGGTAGCGTAGTTGGATATGGAATGGGTGTTACCCTGTAGATTAAGGCCGGACACATTAAAATGTCCACTGAAATACAGATGCACTTGGTCATGCCCCTGCTGGTGAGCAGCAACACCATAAGAAACCAAAGTAGAAGAAGTGTCAACATGCTTAGCCAATGAGGACTGATCTGTAAGCAACTAAGTGACATTTATGGCCTGACCACACCAGAAAACCTTGTTGAATGCAGAATTCTCAGTGTGTGCTGCATGACAAAATGCAAGGATCCCAGAATTTCACAGAGTTTTTTTTTTTCTTGACAGAACCTTATTGAAATGTCAAAAGTGACACTTAAATACAGTTCTATGCACCATGGTGGCGTTGCGTTGCTGTGTTTTACATAGCAACCCGCTATGCAAAAAAAAGTAGTGCATGCAATTTTTAGTGCATGTCTATTTCAGCACACGCTCACTGAGTTGTCACAGTTTACGACTGTTTGCCTATCACAGTGATCACATGATTGGGAAGCCTGCTTCTGGTGTTTAGAACCTCTTAAAGAACTGGCCATAAGAAGATATGTTTGGGTTCAAATCCTTGAGCTGCAGAGCATTTTTTGCACTCTTTAATGTGATTTGTGTTAAGGAAGCCATTTGAATGGGTTGCCAAAAGAAGATAAATTGATCTAAATAGGTGTAGTATGTATTTTATTTTTTATGTGCAGCGCACCACAGCACCTTGTACTAAGTTACACCATGCAACATGGTGGGCTGCAATGCTTCTGTGTTAGCAAGGAGTGTTGGGATGCAATTAACAATAAATAGCGTGGCAGCACACCAACAAGAACAACACATGTTTGGTGCAACACTGTAATGTGGGCAATGTTTTGCGCATTCACACATCACACAGATGTGAATAGGGAATTATTTATCTTTTTTACATTTAAAAAAATGTTTTCTCTTTTCTTTTCACTTTTGAAATTGAGAAATAGATTGAGAATGCAGAGTCCTCAATCTCCTTCTCCTTTGCAGCCATAGGTACACTCATACACTATATTAGAAGTGCTAGGTGATCAGAGCGGAAGTTTAGCCTTCCCCCACCCGAAACCTCCTGGGACACATCACACGTCCAGGAAGCTGCAGGTCCATTGAGAAAGTGCAGCGTTACTCCTGCATATGCAGTGGAAAACCAGCAGTGAAGCACCAAGAAGTTACAGCCGGCTTCCTATGTCCAAGATGGTAGCACGAGGGACCAAAAGACCAGCAAAGAACCAACCCAAATGACAAAAGCGTTGGATCCTGGGACTGGTAATTCATGTTTATTAAAAGCAGCTACAGTATTTGTAGCTGCTGACTTTCCTTTTTTTTTTTCCAGAATGAAATGTAAAAAGTATAAAAGGCAGAGGATCAGTCTGACAGCATTTGGGAACCCTAAAAAGATCACAGCAGTTAGCTTCTTGCGAAATATGAAAAGGGCTTATGTGTCTGAAAGGTGGAACAATCAATAAGGAACAGAAAAAATTATATAAAGTATCAATGTAAGTAAAAAAAAAAAGGGAGAAAGCCATTTGTAGAAAACCTGTAGAAAGTACCTGAACATCAATATACTGTAGTTGCTTGCAATTAATTATACCATCAAGTGCGGTTAATCTACAGCGCCTCAGAGATAGATATTTAAGTTTTTCACAGTTTGATAATGTAGAAAGGCTACATCCAGGCAGGTCATATAAAGTCACTGTTGTAACCTAAAAAATAAATAAGTAAAAGTTAATACAGGTCAAAGGGACTCTACCCAATTTCCTCTAGCAGCATTTTCAATAGTGTTTAACAGTTTAAGATAAGTTGTGCCGTAATCAGCAGCCTTTTGGAGTCCCATAATTACTAATTGGTGTCTACCTGTGTGAGGTGAAACTGTCTCAGAATCACAACATAAATACACTTGTTTTTGGAAATAAAATGTTAAAGATCTAAAGAAAATCTTGAAGACTAAAAAGCTATTAAAATTAAAGCAGAACTATAGGCAATGTTTTGCATTTTGACTAGAGTAAGAGAGGGTTATAACCCTCTGTCAATTTTATTGCCATCTGTATCCCATTGCGGAAATTTCCCTTCACTTCCGGTCCCACAGCCAAACAGGAAGTGAGAGAAAATCTCTACAAACAAGGGAATTCCTTGGGGACCCCCAGGCCATCACAACTAGTGTCCCCATTGGAAGATTTGCCCAGGGGCGGACTGACAAGTCATGAGGCCCCTGAGAAACAGGAGATCATGGGACCCCCTGTGCCCCCGCCCACACTCAAGTCACATCCACATGAAGCCACACCTAAATATTGCACTGCCTACATTACATGCTTTTGTCACTGAATTTCTCTACACTATGTTCAAAATAAAAGTGAATTATAAAAAATAAAGGAAAAAAACTTACATTAAAAAAGAGCAACAAAGGTACATTTTCAAACTGAAGGTTTTAATGAATGAACACAATATAACAGATGCAACAAATGTTGTCTTAGCTGAAGATTTTAATAAAAAATAAACAGAAAATTAAAAAAAAAAAAGCCTCACCAGCATGTTACAAAAGCAACAAAGAGCTAAGTTCAGGTGATGTCTTGGCAAATCTGTCATCTGTCCCACTATGAGTTGCTGATTACCAACATTACCAGTATAGTGTCTGTAGGTGCATACAGTGGATATAAAAAGTGTACACACCCCTGTTAAAATGTCAGGTGTCTGACAAAAAAAAAAAATTAGATAAAAGTAAATCATTTCAGAACTTTTTTTCACCTAATGTGACCTATAAACTGTACAACTTAATTGAACAACAAACTAAAATCTTTTGAGGGGGTGAGTAAACATAAAAAAACTAAAATAATGTGGTTGCATATGTGTGCACACCCTCTTATAACTGGGGATATAGCTGTGTTCAGAATTAAGCAATCACATTCAAAATCATGTTAAATATGAGTCAGTACACACCTGCCATCATTTAAAGTGCCTCTGATTAACCTCAAATATAGTTCAGCTGTTCTAGTAGGTCTTTCCTGACATTTTCTACAGCAAAAGCCATGGTCCACAGAGAGCTTCCAAAACATCAGAGGGATCTCATTGTTAAAAGGTATCACTCAGGAGAAGGGTACAAAAGAATTTCCAAGACCTTAGATATGGGCTATGGGGTAGAGTGGCAAGACGGAAGCCTTTTTTTACAAAGAAAAACATCCAACCTGGCTAAATTGTGTAAAAACACATCTGAAGTCTCTCAAAAGCATGTGGGAAAATGTGTTATGGTCTGATGAAACCAATGTTGAACTTTTTCGCCATACTTCCAAAAGATATGTTTTGCGCAAAAACAACACTACACATCACCAAGAACACCATACCCAGAGTGAAGCATGGTGGTGGCAGCTTCATGCTTTGGGGCTGTTTTTCTTCAGCTGGAACTGGGCCTTAGTCAAGGTAGAGGGTGTGACGGACGCGGCGTCAGACCCCCAGCCCTTCTCACTAACTCGTGACCGAAAGACTAGCCAATCTAAAAAACCGCGCTGACACGTGCGTAACAGTACCACGCTCGCTCAGCTGCACCCCGCACAAAGATTTTCCAGCTACTGGACCACAATCTATGTACCGCAGCCTGAGAGTGATTGTTACTGGGTCAGGTTAATTACGCAATTAACTCTTCACACTGCCACCACCTCCTTTTTATACAGAAAAAGAGGAAACTCACCAATCTTAGCAGTAACACTATGATGTTTGAATAAGCGTCTGGATACACACTGTCACCACAGGCAGATATATCCAGAGGTTTTAAAACACACAGTAGCAATCTTCAGAGACAGGGATTTTTAGTTTGCATTAAAGAGCTTTAGAAACAGTTCAACACTTTTTAGATAATAGGATTTATTACTAAAAAGGTCAAAATGGTAATACCAATACAAATACTTACAGAAAAAGATGTAGCCAATATATATATATATAAATACAGAGAGCA